TTACATACAAATAGATGGAAATAAATGGAAACTTCTTCAAAGGCTTTAGCCACATGATCAAAATTTCAGAAAAGGGACAGGCACGGTGGGTAATCTACTTTGCATGGCTCAACAGGTATAGCTACTAACAATTATAATTTTGCTAAATGCTTCCTTTAGACTAAAATCTATACTATTGGCAACTCCCCACATAATCTCAATTCTCAAAGTGCTCCAGGTCACTAAGGTCAACTTCACACATGCTGCACTGAGATAATTCCCATGAACAGGGAAAATATGTGTGTTTGGGATCCATATGAAGACGCACTGCTGGGTGTAAAATTGACAAGTGGCTACTTGCAGTTTCAAGACTTTCAGTTTCTGAGCACCTACTGATCTCACACATGCGCACATCATTTCAAGCCAAGATTCACATTAAGGTTCCAATGCAATATGCGGACAGTATTGCTCATCATCAGTGATGTCAGGGGTTTCTATTCAATAGGTTCAACATTTAGTCAGCCACATTCTGTTCTCATCCTGAAGCAAAGTACTTAACCCGAGGCACTATTTCTGGCTTACGCAGACACACAAACACACCCTAGGATAAGCATCTCTTACAGCAAAGTGAAATTAATGGGGCTTTGATTCCACAATGGGGAATAAAGATAAACCTCTAACAAATACCCAACAGGTGTAGCGCTAGATTTATTCTAGTTCTGCTCCCCTTGGCTAGGTCAGTGTCAGAGAAGGATTCTTACTGCCAATCATGGTGGCTACACTAAATCCAGTGCTTTGCATAATTACCAGCAAGCTGCAGTTTCCCATTTCTTAAGTCCAACGGAACATGTGAAGAAATCCAGATATACGTATGCAAGGCCAACATTTTCAAGCCCTGACTATCGTTGCTCTCAGAACCTGGTGCCGAACAGCTTCCTCTCTTCGAATGGTTGACAGGTAGTCACTGTAGACTACTCTTACAGGCGAAACTAACAAAGAGATTTTTACAACATAATAAAAAAATATGCTACGGCCATCAGAGGTCAGATAAATTTGTTTAGAAAAGGGGAAGCGGATCCAGGCTGTTAGTTGGCCTTTTCTCCTCCTCAGTATATTCTGAACTACAAGTAGGATGGTTCTGTACTTAAAGTTTTATCCTCATGTTCTTCACTATCAAGTTTTACATAAGAATCACCAAATCTGGGCAAAACTGATCCTTTATTTTCTGCCCAGCTGATCAGTGCAATATATATCACTCACAACTAGTATTATCAGATTATTATTATTATTATTTCTTTATTAAATTTCTATACCGCCTTTTATCAGGTTATCAGCATGCATGCATGTAAAGAGACAATTTAATTTACACCAAGTTCATGAACTCAAATGTGAGCGACTTTTCCTATGGCAGGAATGGTTAACCATTTCCCAACAGTTAATCCTTTTCAAACTGTGACACTAACGATGCAGCATGGATGGCTAAACTGATGCCAAAAGTGATCTAAGCAGTAAGGTTTTGTGGCAGTCCAGGAAAGCATCAAGAGACTGTGGGCCGTACTGCACTATAATGGATTTCTGCTTGCCTCTCCTGAATTGCCAGCTCACTAGACTAAAGGAAATAAACTACCCCAAGGAAAGGGAAAACACACCCATTCAGTACCGGGGTAATGGAGGTGGGAGTAAGGAAAGGAATCATACGTAGTTTCATTCATGCATGGACTATCTAATATTATGCACCAGGCACACTTAAGGAAAGTACTGGCTTCCCAAAGAAATTAGCTACTACAACACTGACATTTCAAAACCGATGTAAACACTAGAAACTTTGTACAATTTGTACTATTGCCCCATATGATGGCTTTGGATGATTTATAAAACCATGTGTTAGTCGTAACTCATCATTTGCTACCCTGTATATACTCTTAAATCTATTTAGCACAATACCAAGCCATTACTAAATGTGTATACTAATTTCCCTCTTAACCCACCAGAGATCATAGGATTTTGTGAGATACCATATCCAGGATTTGATATGTCAACACCCCATGCCTATCTATTCCTCATGCTGAGTAACATCCTTTATGCCATCAGCCAGTTTTACCGCAAGTAAAAGACAGCTTGCAATTACCAACAATTACACCTTTTTATTATTTTTGTATTTATTAGTCTCTTTTCCACACCCACCCACCCCAAAAATGAATCCCAAAGTAGCATATAAAAATTAATAGTAAAAACAAGTTTTAAACAAGCTAAAATACAGATGTAACATATACAGTGGTACCTTTGTTCTAGAACTTAATCTGTTCCGAGAGTCCAGACACGCCTCCCTGGGGACAACATTCTATAAATGGGGAGCCACCACTGTGAAGGCCTGTTCTTGTGTTGCCACCCTTCTACCTCAGTCAGAGAGGACACAGGGAGAAGGGCCTCTGATGAAGAGCACAGGGTTCACATGGCCTGACTTTCAACACCTTTTCTGCCTAGTAATCAGATGTCCTGTTTTGCAAAACTTTACACACCACCATCAACATATAAAGCAAGTCTTGTGAGAGATGTGTATTATCCCTCTCTCTTTTGCCTACACCTGCTAATCTCAGGGCCGTGGGTTTGAGCCCCACGTCAGGCAAAAGATTCCTGTTGAACTAGATTTCCCTTGTGGTCCCCTCCAACTCTACAATTCTATGATACATTTACTCTATTAAAAAAAAAAAGGTGAAAATTGCTTTTCTGCCTCCCACTAACATATGATGTACTTTTAATACACAAGTGTCATGGAACGGGCTTCCCTGCTTTTTGCAGTGATATGAGAAAACCAGAAGTTTTGACCAAGATAATCCCATTAGCCTTTTTAACATCGACTCTTCCACTCTCTTCTTCCCCATCTATCATCCAAGGATGCATGCTTAAAATCCTTTAGCTATCTTCTGAAACCCACTCTATCCACAGGTAACAAGTCTATAAACACTGGAAGAGAACATGGGAATCAAAAGACAGCAGTTACCCCAGATAGAATCTGAGCACAATCCCATAGATGAGGCATGAAAGTGGTTAAAGAATAGCAAAGCAGGTTATTTTATTTTCTTTTTTAACTCATCCTTTCCATATACACCCACACATGATTATGAATAAAATGAAGGTTCTAACCCATTCTTTAAATAAATAATAAATTGCTCACTCTGCTCACAAAAGTTGATAAGGCATCCAACAAAGGACTAAAAACAAAATGCTCTCAAAGAACACAATGTCTCAAAGCTGGGGGGGGGGGGAGACTATTAACCTGTTCTGTATCAATGACGTGGTATTTTAGTAGAAGTTATCTTATAGCAACCAGCACCGTAAGGCTGACCAACAACTCTTCCAGGACCATCGGGACAAGAGAGTTGCTCTCAGACCAACTACACCATACAAAGATAACCATAAGAGTGAATCCAGACCATTTGGAAGGCAGAACAGGCTCTTGCTTGGCACCAACATCCTAACCTTAACGTATGTTTTACTCAGATGTAAACCCCACTGCATTCAATGAGGCTTATGAAGCATTTACAACCCACCCTTTACACCTCACAACCACTCCGTAAGGTAAGGTTAAAGCAAGAGTGAAAAGCCAGTTTTGCCACTGAATAACAACCTGAACCGCTCCAAGGCAAATTAGCCACTAATATTTCCACACGGGCACTTCAGTGCTGCAGAGCCCAGGTTCCAGAGGACTGAATGGGTTCGACTTCTGAGCAAACATGCACAGGGCGGGGCTGTAAGGCATGTCATGTGTGCAAGCTAGCGGGAAAGGACTGGGAAGCTGTAAAAAAAATAAAAGTGGAACAGCTCAGCTGGTAGAGCATGAGATCTCAGGGTTGTGGGTTCGAGCCCTAAGATGGGCAGAAGATTCCTGCCTCGCAGGGGGTTGGACTAGGTCAGACTTCCTCAACCTCGGCCCTCCAGATGTTTTTGGCCTACAACTCCCATGATCCCTAGCGAGCAGGACGAGTGGTCAGGGATGATGGGAGTTGTAGTCTCACAACATCTGGAGGGCCGAGGTTGAGGAAGCCTGGACTAGATGACCCTCACAAGTCTATGAGCCCGTGTGGCCCTCCAGGCATTGCTGGGCGGCCCCAGGGGCTGATAGGAGTTGTAGTCCAGCAGTAACTGGAGGGCAGGTAACACAGGTTTCCCAATGCCCACCCCCCACCAGCCCTCAAGTATCCAGGGGGCTCCCTCTCCCCACAGCTTCTCCCACAGCGGTGGGGGGGGGGTCTCCTTCCTTCTCCCCCTACCCACCTCCAGCCCCAGACGCCAATCACTGAAAAGGGCGGGAAAGAGGCGCGCGCGGGAGGGGGGGGCGTCTCGCCCTCACAGAGAAAACCCCGAAGCCGCGGAGGCAGACGGCCGCCGCACACCCACCTTCTTCTTTCCCCCGAGCGGGCGGAAGGAGACGGCGAAGGGACAAGAGAGCCGGGCCGAACGCCGAAAGCTTGAGCGGGACCGAGGGCGAGAGAAGGGGCGTGGCCAACGCGCTCCCGTCAGCCGCTCGCTCTTCCCCGGCCCCTTCGGACGGCCGAGCAGCCAATCAGGGCGCCGCCCGCGGCTATAAGTTTTCCAGGAGGCCACGCCCCGTTTCCTCCCTCCCCTCGCCCGCTTTTTTTCCTTCCCCAATGTCTCGTCACGGCGATGCCCCTGTGGTAACCGCCCAAGTTTCCTTGTTCCGTTATCGGGAGGGCTTCCCTTCCACCAACACCACCCCCGCCACAGTTCTAAATGGACCAGCCCACACGCTGGCTTGAGCGGGGCAAGGAAAGGAAAAGGACCGGGCAACTTCGGGGAAGAGGGGTGCGCCCTCTCTCCCTGCTACGAGCCCAGCAAACTCACACCCTCACATACGCGACTGTGGAGGTTTTATTGTTAACTAGGGAGTCAGCCTCATTCACCTTCCCGGGGCTTGCTTCTGAGTAAACACGCAACAGTTGAAGCGTATTTTTTTTTTATGTATTTCCTCCAACAACCCTGTGAGGTAGGGTCACGTTTAGCTGTAAGCCGCCTCGAGCCCCCAGCAGTGGGAAAGGCGTGCTATAGTAACAACAACGACAAAGGTTAGGTGAGGGGCAATGACTGCCCCCCCCCAAAGTCTTCCTCCCACACAGCATTTTCATGGCCAAGTGGGGATATGAACTCCGGTCTCCCCAAATCCTAGTCCCAACACTAACCAGTACACCATCTGTTTTCCAGCCCAACCTAAAAGCACACCATATGCACGGTTTGCAAGAAGGGTGAATAAGAAAAGCCCGGCTGGATCAGACCGAAGCAAAGGTCTTTTTATTCCAGTGTCCGGTTCCCCCATTGTGGCTGACTCATAGCTGTTAACCTTCCCTTTTTTGGCAGGAAATTCCCTTATTCCAGCGCTGTTTCCCGCTGCTATCCTGGATTGTTAGATATCCCATAGACTGTCCCCGGGACAGGTAAGGCTGCTGATCCCTTATTTTCGAGGCTGCTGATCCCTTATTTTCAAATCTGAAAGTTGACGGCTATGGGCTGACTAGATGGCCACAAGGTGGGCAGGATGGCAGGGCCAGCCCAGCCATTAGGCATACTGAGGTTACCGCCTCGGGCAGCGGGATCTACAGGGGCAGCAGATCCCAGTGTAGATCTTTACATTTCCAAGCACAATTCAAAGTGTTGGTGCTGACCTTTAAAGCCCTAAACGGCCTCTGCCCAGTATACCTGAAGGAGCGTCTCCACCTCCACCGTTCTACCCGGACACTGAGGTCCAGTGCCGAGGGCCTTCTGGCGGTTCCCTCACTGCGAGAAGCCAAGTTACAGGGAACCAGGCAGAGGGCCTTCTCGGTAGTGGCACCCACCCTGTGGAACGCCCTCCCACCAGATGTCAAAGAGGAAAACAACCACCAGACTTTTAGAAGACATCTGAAGGCAGCCCTGTTTAGGGAAACGTTTAATGTTTAATAGACTATTGTATTTTAATATTTTGTTGGAAGCCGCCCAGAGTGGCGGGGTATAAATTAATAATAATAATAATAATAAAATAATAATAATAATAATAATAATAATAATAATAATAATTTCTCCCCTGGTTCCCGATGTAAATCTTCATTCACCCCTTCTTCCTTTGCAGGGGATGAGCGACATTTTGCGGTTCGCCTCAGAGGCTAAAATGTCTTGGGCTAGCCCCACAGGATGGAAATAGCCCTTTCCTGTGACTGCTTCCCTCCTTCCCACAATTGGTATACAGAGCTACTCAGCTTCAGAATTTGATTCTATGCCTCCTTCCTTACAGGAGAGTAAGTGTCACTTAAGTCACTGGGTCTTACTTCTGAGAACAGCTACATCATTTGCAACACAATCCTGTATGTTCAATGGGGATTCCTCCCAATGCACAGGTTTGCAGCCTTGGTAGATAAAACACTTCCATTGATGTGCTCTTGACCTCCCCCCATGGGCGTAGCCAAGACTTTTGTTAGGGGGGCAGAACCAACATGATTGCTCAGTTCAGTATTCCTATTGTTTGACTTGATCTGGAGGGGCAGCTGCCCCTCCCTGCCCCCCCCCCCGACTACACCCATGCCTCCCGCCCCCCATTTATCTGGCAGCAAATGCATATACAGTTTTAAATATAGGTATTAAAATAACTGCTATCAGAGAAAAGGCATTCCCTCCCCATGTGGGAGAGAAATAGAAAGGCATCTGTTAAGATGATGTCTGCCAAGGTCCATTTATCTCTCAATAAATATTTCCTCGATACCCTACAGAATTTTTTTTTTAAAAGACAGCATACTAATTAAAACCAACAATAAGAGAGAGAGAGAAAAAACTTCATTACAACAGAGTCAGCATAAAACAATATACAGCCCAGACTTAAAGGGCAATTAAAAAAGCCCGAGTGAATAAAAATATGTTCATCTGGCACCAAAAAGACTGTAAAGAAAGCACCAGGCAAGCCTCTCTGGGGAGACTATTCCATCGTCCAGGTGCCACTACAGAAAAGGCCCCGTCTGTAATGGTCACTCAGTGTGCTTCTTTTCCTTTAGAACCTTTTAAATATGCAAAGATACTTTGTTTCATACATTTTGTCAACTAAAACTTACATAATTAACTGAGATTTATTTCTCTATGTTCCCCCGTACCCAGGAGTAAGGTTGTAAACTCTTATTTGGGAATAAGCCACATTAAATTTAATAGGTTTTACTACTTATGAGTAGGTACAAGTACTGATATTTATTTCAGTACCTATGAAGCTGCTTTACAGAGATTAACCCTCCCTAGTACGCAACATATAAAAAAATTATTCAAAATTATTCAATTATTCAAAATGTAAGTTACAAACCATAAAACCACCATATACGAAACATCTAAAAATATTTTTTCTTGTAAGCAAACATACATAGCACTAGACTCCCATGTACTTGAAATAAGCCTTCCTGAAATGAAATGGGTCTTACTTCTAAGTAAGCAAAACTAGGATTGGGTTCTGTACGGCATTTGAGCCGCATGTAAAATGTGGTCTTTGCATTGTGGATCTCTGAGTGCAGACGTGTTCAAAGAAGCCTACACATGTACAACACTGTGCACATAGTTTCCGCACGATATGCACAGAGGTGTACCAATGGGTATCCCACTTTGCAGAGATCTGCACTCAGTGCGTAGAGGCAGAGACTAGGGATGACGCAATGTCCAACATGGAGGATGGAGCCAGTAACAGCAGCAGTAAGCATATGCCCTAAGCCTGGAGCTACACATTAACAGGGTTGTAAGAGCATGCTGATGTTGAGTTCTGCAGAGCCCTCACTGGCCAGGCAGAAAGTCAGTTACAATCAACTACAGAGAAAACAATTCTTTAATCAAAAATCATTTACAGTGTAACCCAGCACATGTTTGCATGGGGAAAAGTTCCACTCTATTCAAGGGAATGCAGTCCCAGAAAGCACACATATAGCTAAGTTGTGTGTGTGTGTGTTCCAAATAATGGCTTGTGTCGGAAAAGACTTGAGAAACCCAGCTTCAAATCCACACCAAAGCTTTATTTATCCTCCTCCAAAGGGTTGTCGTGAGCATAAAGAGAGGGTTTGTGGATCAAATGAATCATAGAATCATAGAGTTGGAAGAGACCACAAGGGCCATCGAGTCCAACCCCCTGCCAAGCAGGAAACACCATCAGAGCACTCCTGACATATGGTTGTCAAGCCTCTGCTTAAAGACCTCCAAAGAAAGAGACTCCACCACACTCCTTGGCAGCAAATTCCACTGTCAAACAGCTCTTACTGTCAGGAAGTTCTTCCTAATGTTTAGGTGGAATCTTCTTTCTTGTAGTTTGGATCCATTGCTCCGTGTCTGCTTCTCTGGAGCAGCAGAAAACAACCGTTCTCCCTCCTCTATGTGACATCCTTTTATATATTTGAACATGGCTATCATATCACCCCTTAACCTCCTCTTCTCCAGGCTAAACATGCCCAGCTCCCTTAGCCGTTCCTCATAAGGCATCGTTTCCAGGCCTTTGACCATTTTGGTTGCCCTCCTCTGGACACGTTCCAGTTTGTCAGTGTCCTTCTTGAACTGTGGTGCCCAGAACTGGACACAGTACTCCAGGTGAGGTCTGACCAGAGCAGAATACCCTGCCCTGCCCTAAGCTCCTTAAAGGAAGAGCAGAATGAATGTAATATATAATAATTATGTAATGGAAATAATAGAATAGCTAAGAGAAGGTTAAATCACCAGAACTTCAAAGTAGTGTTAAAAAAAATGTTTCGGGTAAATCACAGCTAGGAGGAGGATTTTTATCAGGACTATAGCACATAAACTGCAAACTGCAATCCCAATCCTGATTCCGCCCCCCCCCCCCGCAAAAAGCCACTATTTACACATTTGTAAAGATGAAAGCAGCTGCAAGTGCCGCATTTTAACATCACATGCAGTTTAGTCCCAATGCATGCAATATGTGAACATGGAGAATGTTCATCCAAAGCACAGGGTTGCCTTTTCATGGGAACTTTGTAAGAGAAAGAAAAGACGAGGATGAAGATTTACAAAATGTTTTTAAAGGGCTTCATGAGTGCTCCCACCATTCAGATTTGCAGCAGGGAATTACTCAGCTTCTAACGAAATAACAGAGCGAATAAATTTTTCCTTTCTAGAAAAAAAAAAGAGGTATTATTATCTCCTGAGACAAGCAGGTTAACCCCCTATGCAAAATGTGTTTTGATGTCCCACAACAACTGCCTAACAACACAAGAATTGCCTCCTAAGGCCTTGATCCCGTGTTCAAAGAAGCCCACGCATGTTCAACGCTATGCACATACGCTACATATGGCACAGCAACAAATCCAGCAGAAGATGTCCCCTCGCCTTTCCTATGCCTGTACAGTGCAAAAGACCGCGCAACATTTTTTTTTCCAGAAAATTTTCCAATAGAGAATTTAATAATTCCACCTCGCTTGCATTCTGTACTCACAGGAACCAATATGGTGGAAACTGTCTTTATCATGCTAGGAGAGACATGAGGTACTCATACAGCAGGGCACCTCTGCTGCAATGTACCTAGTTTGGTTGTAGTTTGGAGAACGGCACCATATTGTCTACGCATATCTCTGCATTTATTTATTTATTTATTTATTTAGGTCTCCAGCATCTACAGGCAACAAGTCCCGTCTTCTTACCAGACGCAGTGTGCAAACTTCACCCCTCATCTTTGAAGGCTACGCACTGACATTTAAATTAAAACACACCAAGAACATTTTCGTACCTGTGCTGGGGTTTTTAAACTCTTGCAGCAGGGAATGGGGGAAATCTACAGCAAAAGAGGATTTCCAGGTATAATTTTCACTACAAACTAGAACAGCGTTCTCAGCCCCATCCTTGCCAATAAATTGAAGAGGTGCAACATCAGCTTACCTGAGACAAATGCCCCAATTCTAAAGCATCACTTTGAACTAAGCCCCTTTCCCACGTAAGTACTCGCTTCCCACACAGTGGTCACAATCCACAGCCTTGCACTGCATTCTAGCACCGCCACATCCACTGCACCTATCAAACGGACTGCTGGCTCTGGTGGTGCCTATCAGAGATAGGAGGAGGAAAGAGGATCCACATAACAGGGTGGCCACCCACTCGCAGACCTGACCCAGCCAAGATACTCGTTTGCAACAGCCCTTACGTGCGGCACCCGTTGGCGCATAAAGACCACATCCAGCAAAGGCAGCCAGTTGCCTTGAAGAAACCTGCAAAGATTGCCTTTTGCAGGGGTTTGAGTTCTTCAGCGTTTAAAGATACAAGCGTAACGGGGTTTGAGATATGGGCATTGCCGCACAACAGCCTAGTTCACCAGAGGCATAAAACGGACTGAAAAAAGTAGCGTGCTTATCAACGCAACATTAGCAAGACACAGCAGAGAATACGTCAAAGGGTCAATAAGAACAGTGGCATTAATGGTCATTATTATTACTTGAATGCCTTTTGCCAGCTAAAAAGCTAAACCTAACAATTTCCTGGAGAATCAGGGCATGGATTCTAACCACTTGTTGTAGCAGGACGCACCAGCACACACAGTGGCAAAAGGGAGGCAATAAGCTCGTGTGAATGAATGAGCCGCCTACGGTATTATTATTATTGTTGTTGTTGTTGTTGTTGTTACAATGAGACATGCAAATTTGGCTGTGAATTTAAAGCCCCCTCCCCATTTTTAACCAGGAAATAATATCGGGGGTGGGGAGTGAGAAGACACCAACAACATACAGTCTGGCCACAACCATTCATTGCGGCAGTGTGCCACTGTCACGCCCACATTTGTCTTCTGATCCGCCCCTGGGATTTCCGCGAAACCCGGGAGGTTGCAGAGAAAGTCCCGGGGCGGGAGGGAAATCATGGCTATCTGGGTGTGCCTTTAAAAAGCCGCCGCCGCCGCCACCACCTCCTTGAGTAAGGAAGGCGCCTTTTTTTGCGCATTTGCAGTCAAAGAAGCCGCGCATCTCATGCACGCACGCTAACAAAAAGCAAAACGCGGGCTGGATCGATATTCGCATTATTAATGCAGGGGGTTCCCCGTGGGGAGGGGGGAAACACGACACACACGGAATTGTCTTTCTTTACAAATGGGCGTCGCCACACTTTTTTTGCAGCAGCCTGAGCCTTTTGTTAGCTAGGGAACGGATGCGAATAGCCGCTTGCCCCCTTAATCCGGAGTGAACCCGGACTTCGGTTCACCAGCCCCCGACTCCCGATGCAATGCACGCGATTGTTTCAGGCGACCCTGAGCAGCTGCTTTTTGCAGCCAGACAGCCTCTGCGATCGAGCGCGGTTCCAGCACCAATCAATCAATCAATCCAATTATCGACAAGGGGATCTACTCACAAGACTTGGCGAATTTCCCTCCCTGTGCGTCGCCGTCTGCGCCTCTGCTGCGTTTTTTCCTTCTTCTTTTCTGCTTCTTTTGTTTTCCCGCTTTCCCTTTTCTTTCCGTTTAAGGCTCCACTCTGAATGTCACAAAATAAATGCGTCCATTGTGCGCTGCAACCACCCCGAAGCCTCGCTTGAACTGGAGCGGTTCCTCTCCCACTTCCCCCTTTCCTCGTGTGCTCATCCAACGTGATGGACAGTTGCTATGGTTTCGCATCTCTGACGTCAACGACATTAAAGAGAAAGAGCTTTCCTTTGCTGCCTGGGATAACTCCCACCAAGGAGCACAAAAAAAAGAGACAGACAGAAAGAGGATTTCTTGTGCAGTCGAGCCTGGCAGGGCGTAGTCCAGGCACCTCCCATTTCTTCCCACTGAGGCAGCTATCACTCAGTAATTACTGCAGAGATATTAGAATTATTAAGCCTTGCCAGGGATGCTTGCATACTGGGCTGGCACTACTATTAGGCAGACTGAGGCAGCCGGTTCAGGCGGCAAGGTGCTGGGGGGCAGGCAGCAAAGTGGTGGGTGATGTCGGCCAGCCCTGTGCCCCATAAGGCAGCCCGCCACCTTCTGGGGGGGTCGGTGTGGGGCAGCGTCTCCACCCCCATAGTGAACTTAAGAGTCAACAGCCAGTCTGGTCAGCTTCTGAGTGTGGAAAGGTTGTTGGAGGCAGGGAGAGAGGGGAAAAATAATAATCATCTCCTTTGTCTCAGACAAGGAAAATGCCTTGGACGCACAAATATTAACATGTACTTAATGCAATAAAGTTTGTTTTTCAATATACATAGTATTGTGTTCAGAAGTGCTTCTATCTTAAAGGTAAAGGGACCCCTGACCGTTAGGTCCAGTCGCGGACAACTCTGGGGTTGTGGCCCTCATCTTGCTTTACTGGCCGAGGGAGCCGGCGTACAGCTTCCGGGTCATGTGGCCAGCATGACTAAGTCACTTCTGGCGAATCAGAGCAGCACACGGAAACGCCGTTTACCTCCCCACCAGAGCAGTACCTATTTATCTACTTGCACTTTGGCGTGCTTTTGAACTGCTAGGTTGGCAGGAGCAGGGACCAAGCAATGGGAGCTCATCCCGTCGCGGAGATTTGAACTGCCGACCTTCTGATCGGCAGGCAAGCCCTAGAAGCACCTGCATTCTATCTTAGTGTTATCTTATTATTTAATTTTGTGTATATAATTACATACTGAGTGACATTGCCAGCGGTGTGTTTTTTTTTATTGCCCTGGCCTTTTTCATTGCCATAGCAGCAAAACAAACAAACAAAGTGAATTAATTGATCCCCATGTAATTTACTGTCAGTTGATTGATGTCTGAATAGTTGTTGTTGTTTTTTAAGTAGCTTTATCACTAACTGAGTGAATTCAGTTTTCAGGATATGGAAACTAAATACTGTATATCAAATTGCCCGAAGATCACAGAGCAGTATAGAAATAAGAACAATTATAAAATACTTGGCAAACAGAAATCCAAGTTGATGCAAAATGTTGACCCATAGGACAGGCCTCTGACCCAGAGGGCTAACACGGTAAAAATGGGGAGGGGGAGTGAGGAACAGAATCCAGCCAGCTGTCTGGATCCTGACCTCCCTTAAACCTGACATGCTATTTTGACAGCTAGGTGCAGCCACCCATTTGCCCAATTCCTGATATCACCTTCCTACCAGGACAGTTATCTTTCCACAAGGGCCAACATTGATGCCGAAATCCAGCATCGCCATAACTCTGCGAATGCAGCTTTCTCCTGATTGAAGTGCAGTGTGTTTGAGGACTGGGACATTTGCAGGGAAACCAACATTCTTTTTTACAAAGCTATTGTACCGATGCACATAGAGCAACAGTACTACCAACCTTACTGTACGCTTGTGAAACATGGACCACTTATAAACGCCATCTCCAACTCCTTGAAAGATTCCATCAACGGTGTCTCCGAAATTTTTTACACATCACTTCGGAAGACAGGCAAACTAATGCCAGTGTACTGGAAGAAGCAAAGATCACCAGTGTCAAAGCAATGATTCTTGAACATCAACTTCGTTGGACCGGTCATGTTGTACGGATGCCTGATTATCGTCTTCCAAAGCAACTACTCTATTCCGAACTTAAAAATGGAAAACTTAATGCTAGTGGTCAACAAAAGAGGTTTCTCAAGGCAAATCTTAATGGCAAATCTTAAAAAATGTAGTATAAACACCGACAATTGGGAAACACTGGCCTGCAAGCATTTCTATTGGAGAACAGTCTTTACCCAAGGTGTGATGGTCTCTGAAGACTCTTGAACTCAGAACGAAAGGGAGAAATGTCCTAAGAGGAAGGCTTTTTGGCAATCAACTCCTGCCTGGAAACCTGTATCCCCACTGTGGAAGGACATGTGGATCCAGAATTGGCCTCCACAGTCACCCACGGACACACGGTTAAGACCGTTTTCATGGAAGACAATCTTAGTTGGCCACGAGTATTCACCAAATAAGAAGAAAAGAATCAGCTGAAGTGTTTTCCTTTGCCTGTGGGATTCGAAATCAAACCCCCTAGGCACAGATGCAGGATTTTGGAAACGCTGGTGACTGGCGGCACCCGCAAATCTCACTTTGGGCAAGGATCAGCTGCTCTGCTGGGGCGTTCCCAAGTTGGGATTTGGCACCGCAATCTAAATGCCACTGAATACAAACCCCACTTGAACAAGGAACAATCAGAAGTGCACTTTAAGCTTCCCGATTGTTCCTTGGCAGCCGCATAATTTACTCACCCAACATCAGGTGTGAGGCAGGTGGGTGTAGCTTTGAAGAAACCATTTCATGGGCCAAATTAGGACCCCTGCCGGGTCTAATTAGACCCAGGGGCCAAAGATCCCCCACTGCTGACCTAGAAAATAGACATAAGAGAAATGACAGAGGAAAACAGGGATGGAGGCTGCAGGTAGAACAGGTGAATAATTGATTATTACATTTCCTTAGGCTTAGTTAGGACGATGGTGGAATCAAGGGTGCTGTACCAAAGGCACCACAGAAGATCAATGTCCTTATCTTTCCTTATCTCGTCAGCGGCTAAAAACCGTGGACTGTATCTTTAAATATATAAGAGACATCAAAGGCTCCTTAGAGAATATTACATCCTTTGTATCCCCAAAAGTGAATGTCAGCCCTGTAGACGTTTCACCGGAGGATAGGGCTGAACCAACGCCCAGAGTACCTGCCCTATTACGCCTAACCCCGCAGACTGGCTGCAAATCTGAAAACGAACAATCTATGGAAGATTCACACACCATATCTTCCTATAATCTTTCGTTACAAGCCACTAGACTTTGTTTAATTATCCTTCCCTTCAAAGGTCAGGTTGTTAACTGGTCGTCTACACATGTCGCAAGAAGGCATTTGGCTGAGCTTCTGGGCATAGATCCTCTTTCCATCGATCTGAAATCCGCTGTCCACATTTACAGCAAGCCACACAGGCAGAGGATACTGCTCACCTTTGATTCTAAAAGCTTCCAACTTATATGATGTCCTTACGAAGCTACCTGACTAATTATAGAATTTTTATCACAAGAGTTTTTATCAACACTAAGATTTGCCCTCTTATTCCCTACTCTCCAGTTAAAAGGAAAGCAATTAAAAATGAGGGCATTCCATCTACTACGAGCTCTACCTCTCCACCCTCAGACTTAATTAGTTGGACAGAGACCCCCATGCCCCTCCTATCAAAGGCTACTCATCTTGAGAATTCGATGGAGCAGGAATTACTTGTCTCCTTCTCCCATCTGCCAAAAGCCGAACAAACAGAGATAACGGACAGACTAGATGAGTTATTACTCTATCTCCGCAACTTTGAAGATCTAGCGCCCATAAAAGAGGCAAATATTCCACCTAACTTGGAGCGAAAAATGGGTCATGAATCTCCTCAGGTCACGGCAGAACACACACCTCTACTCTGCCCATCTGAAATCCACGCCGAAATCTCTGTGGCGCCCCTAATCACATTACCGGAGACTCAACCATCCAATGGTTGCATCTTCCACGACCCGGGAAAACACTAGATGCTATTGAAGAGACAAAATGACTCTCACCCCTACTACTATCCTGGAACGTTGCTGGATGGCAATCGAAAACAAGGGACAAAGACGTTTTAACCTACGTATCACAGTTCAAGATCATCCTGCTCCAAGAAACCTGGATGCAAAATCCTTTCGAACTACACAATTACTTTGCTTTCCATTCCCCTGCCTCAATCGGCCCAAAAGGCGGAAGACCGGCGGGAGGTTTGAGCACCTTCGTATCGACAGATCTAGGAGCCTCCCCTATCCAATTGAAAATCGATAAAAAATGGATTTTGGCCGTTAAAATATTCTCCACCCATTTTAAGATCATATGCATCAATGTTTATATTCACCCACTTATGAAACAAACTGATCTTAAAAACATCTGGAACGAACTGGAAGACTGCATTCTCCTTGTCTCAAATAAGTTTCCCTCTGCCTCCTTAATTATTGGTGGGGATTTTAATGCAAGGCTAGGCCACTCAGACGAACAGTTAATCAAGGAAAGTGGAATGGGTCCCCTAAATGCTAATGATGAATATTGGCCCCTATTCAGGCGTCACTCACTTGACCCAGTCACCAATTTTGCTGGTACATGTCTTTTTTAATGGCACTTAGATTAAACCTTGTTATTTTAAACGGCCTCTCCTCGGGGACTGCCCTGGCCAATTTACTTACTGGTCAGGCCTAAGGCATTCTGTTATTGACTACATCCTTGTCTCCCAAGAACTTTTCGATGAATATATTGAATTTACTGTAGATATAAGAACCGAAAGTGACCATTTACCCCTAAATCTTAAAAGGACTGAATTTTGGGAACCCTCTAGATGTGGGCTTGCCCGCAGACTCCTGATCCTAGCGCTTTACAACAAATAGGTAGATCCAGAATTAAATGGTCCCCTTATGTTAATAACCATTTTGGTATTTGGACACAATCAATGGAAGGTCAACTCCTCTGGGCTGATCTGACTTCCAACGACACTGAAGAGACCTCCCCAATTGACCATTATAACACATTAATCCGAAAACTCCAACCGTTATTGTCAAGACCCAGAAGATCTAACCAAAATGACTCCCCTACCAACAAAAAATGGTTTGACCACGAATGCACTCAGGCAAAACTCATACTCAGGGAATGCTTTAAGGTCTTCCAGCAAAATCCTAACCCTATCACTAAATTGGAGTTACAACTTAAAAAAAGAACTACAAAGAGTTATTAAAAACCAAAAAAGAACCGCAGACTCTCTCATCTGGCAGGCCCTCATAAAAGCGTCAATAGAAAAGACAATTCTAATTTCTGGAAAATTATCTCCAGTCAAACCAAAGCTCCTAATGAGGGCACAATAATCCCTGCAAATTCATGGGAAGAGCACTATAAAGTGCTGTTTAGGGAAGATCGTCCTTCTGCGCCGCTTAACATCCCCTTAGATAATGATACACCATGGCCCCCAACATCTGAAACTGAAATCGCTTCGCTAATTCTACAAATGAAATCTGGCAAAGCCCCAGGAAGTGATTTCATTGTCGCTGAACTTTTGAAAGCGCAAATAAACTGGTGGGCCCCGGTCCTTGCAAATCTATTTTCATATATAGACAAGACAACTGAAATCCCTAAAGATTGGGGACTAGCTATAATTGTTCCCATATTTAAAAAGGGCAACCCCTCTGATCCATCTAATTATAGACCAATTAGTCTCCTGAATGTGATCTGTAAACTTTATACAAAACATCTATGCCTA